ACAGAAAACGTTGGTGTCAAATGGGGAGACTTGCTCTCACGTACCATCCCTGCGTCGTGCTTTGCACGAAAAAAGGTCTCAATGACGTCGCACTGCTCCTTGGGCAGGGGCCATTGACGTGTTACGCGGTATTTGGACTCCGAAACCAGGTCGATCTCAGGATGCACAACTCGGTGCGGAGGTAGGACCGAAGGCGGGTCTTTGGAGACGACATCTTGATATTCCTTTACCAAAGGATAGTACGGATCCAAGGGATTCCGTAGGATCGACGATCCACTCCGTGCGTTCAGCACTCTCATGGTGTCTTCGATTCTCCTCAATATATAGTAAAATCTAAATACATGCAAAACTACTGGCTACCCAGTCACGTACCGTATTCTTATTGGGGTGTTGTCACACCATGCCCATCTATGTGACACCCCACCCTGGTACCAGGGTACGTGTAATCCCGTTACACCAAAGCACAATGTGAATTTTAATGTACCGGCAAGAATACATAAGTTACTCCATTACAAAAAGAGTATACTATTTCCCCACAAGAATACCTAGGCGATTTGGAAAGTTGCGTTTTGACTTCAAAGCAAAAAGAGCATTTCATTTGGATTAACGAAAGATCGAAAGGTTGGTCTTCAGCTTTTCGCCCTGTAGATGATAGCGCGTGTAAGTGTCCTTCTGTTCAGCCAGTTAAAAATCCATTCGTCTGTTGTCATTCCTTGATAAGCAATGTACACATGAAATGTGCCAAGTATCACAAGGAAGCAGAGCAGTAGCAGTGGCAGAATGGAAAGTATGCACAATAGCCAAACTTTATTGTTCTTGTAATTCTTTCCCTTCACCGCAAGCATGCATGATATAATGTAGCCTGTAACGATCTGCTGAGTTAGTATCACGTGAATTGTGCAAGACAGCAAACCAACGAACAGCGGATAGTTGTGCGTGCCAATACATGTGTTTAGGTATATGCAGTGATGATCGTAGCCCGGAATACACTTGTTGCATTTACTGCAATGTTTTGTGTTGAATGTTAGCACCATGTGACCACAGTCGCAGCATTTCGGGTATACTAGACTGTATGATAAAATATCAGCATTCGCCTCGCTTGTAGATCCGAAATGTGTGATAGCTGATGAAACTTTAGCATCACAAGCTGCCTTGCATGAATGTGAAAAACGTATTGCTTGATGACTAGGTTGTGTCGAAGGATCAAAGCGTGAAATCTACGTAACATCATATGCAGCTAGAGAGTGACGCCATCTCAATACAGATTAAACTTTTGCGCACAATAAAAAATAGTAGCACTGTCATGGCAAATTGGATGCTGTAAAGTGGTAGAACGTAGTGCTGCAGGAACTTAGGTAGCTCTTGCAAACTGAAAAAGTAGAATGTCACAGCCGACAGTAAGGCAATGCCCACCACCTGCATACCATATTACAATTTTATGTCAAAAAAACTGCGTATTCGTGCGTCTTGCACAGTTAAACGACAAAATTTTCAGCGCACTGCAATTCGCGATGGATGAAGTGGCGCCTCACAACATGTTACTTTCGGTGTCATTATCGTTCTGTTTGTTCGTTTCGATTTACAAACGTACTTAGTACATTCTTGAAATATGCTGCAGCCCCCACCTAACACGAAGCTCTCACGCGTGAATCGCCTCTTCTGCAATATTCGGACGCCTTGCTACATTCCACCGAGCATTGTAGGCAATGTGCCTCACTTGACTCCTGGTACAGCAAATGATGTCACATTATCGCTGCTAGATTTTGATGGTTGGCGTATGCAGATAATTGTAGCAAAGTGAACGATTTAACTTCACAAGTCATAGACTTTGCTGACATGTTCGTCTATGGTCGCTGAAACGTATACGTGACTATTACTTTTAACACTCTATCACTGCAGCGCGAAATTAGTGAAGCTGGCGACGGACAGCGAGAAATCTTTGCGAAGCCTCCTACGTGTGACCGATTACGAGCTCATGTTTTCGGCTCAAAACTACATCGGCGAATCGGTAGGAGTATGCTCCTTCATTATTTCGCCGGTGGGCTGTGCTAACAACTGCTTATTAGTATACGCCGAGCTCCAACGCCACAGGATTCATGATGGAAACTAGTGGTGGACGACGTACTGTTTCTATAGACGAGTACATGAAAGCAACCGACTTGCTACAGCCCGAGCTTGTGGTACCATTTGCAGACGAAATTCCACTTACCAAAAGTCATAACCGACAACGTGCCGCTGTTCAGACGTCGTTAGAATGGCTAGATGCTTGCCAGAAGTTAAACACATCTCGAACGCCTATGTGTGGAGTTATTGTAGGTGGTGACGACGAATTATTGAGACGAGTAAGCGCCGTTGAGACGTGCAAACGTGACATCCAAGCGATTCTGATCAGCGGCTTAGGGACCTGCGCCAATAAAGCAAGACGCTTGGAATTGATCGAGATCATTGTACGCGAGATCACTCCGGCGTCACTCCCGCGTATTGTTACTGGAATTGGTCATCCGCTGGACGTGATGGATGCAGTCAGCCATGGTATCGACGCCTTTGTGTCGCCGTATCCGGCGTTTGCCACAAAGGCAGGCTATGGATTTATATTCTGGATTAGTGCTGCTGATGATGGAGGTAATATGAACGCACGCAATGAGGAACGTGAGCTCTCGGGTGGAGAGCTGCACTTGCGGCAGAAGCGATTTGCGTCTGACTTTAAGCCGTTATTGGTTGGCTGCGATTGTTTTGCTTGCCAGAAGTATACAAGAGCCTACATTCACCATCTGTTAGATGTTCGTGAAATGCTTGGCGAAATCCTCCTATATTTTCATAACCTGCATCACTACTACCGATTCTTTCGCGAGATCCGGTCAACTATCGATCTGAACAACTTTGCCGCTTATCATGCTGAATTTGTGGCAAATTTCGAGAAAGAGCCTAATTTTTTGACAGCTGAAAAGGCTACAATAAATTAAACTGCAGTTGAATTACAATAAATAATATCATAATCGGCGTAGATTCTTTGCTAGGAGTGTTTTATTTGAAGCGAAAATTATGTTGGATACTTCGTTAACATGTTTTTTTTAAACTAAAGATTTGCTTAGAGGGAACTTGATATGCAATAACTCTGCCTTCAAGATAGCTCTGTATTCGATGAACCTAGTTTCTGACAAACAGGCGACTTTTCATTCGAAGATCGCGATTCGCGATCTTTGACATCTTCATTTAAAATACGGTGCTTAGAGTGAGAAGTCAACATGAAGCAGTTTTTGGCGATGAAGATGCCGCTGGTGATCGTAGGACTTTTAACGGCTGACAGCTATGTTGCTGATTCAAGCCAAAAAACATTCGTAGCTAACATTGACATCGACGATCGAAAAATATCAGCAGCTGCAACAAACAAAGTCGAAGACCAACTCATGCCACTACAAGAAACAAGATTTTTTACAAAAAAAGTCGAGCCTTTAAATGAAGCTCCCCGTTTACGTGCACGCAGTCACAACCAAGCTGGTGACGATCGTAAAAGTAATCGGATAGCTAAAAACACAACTGAGTTTGGGGAGAAGATGGTTATTGTGGATGAGATTGTTCGATGGAATCAAGATGACTGCTATCCTTGTGATGCATTCACACAACCACCAAAACTCACTCCGCTTTACTCCAACCAGAATGACAATCACGACAATCATCGTTCGATCGTCACTGACAAAAATAAAGCACGGAAAGAAGTTAGAAACAGTGTACTGAGATATAATTCAACGAACCATCGCCGTGTACACTGCACAGAAACGGTCGGAACGTATGAAGATAGTTATGACTGCTCCACGGAGTCACCAACATCGGCACCGGATTTTTTTTATAATAACAATACCTGTGCTGATGTGTCTGTCGAAGGTGACGCGACATACTGCATTCAGGGACCCATCTGCAGTGGCTCGGGTAGCGATCCTACTGGTTCGTTATGCCCAGTCAAAG